TGAATATTTAATTGGCCTGCGAGGGTCGGGCAGGGAGAAGATTAAAGAGGGTACAACTCGGAATAGTAATGCAACTTAAGGTTTTTTTACGGGGTGTACTCCCTCATAGAACTTTGCTAAATGTGTAGGTTTTACTAAATAAAACCCTAAGGCCTAAGTTAGCCCGAGTAATCTATAGATTTCACATACTGATCCTCTGTAATCTCTCGTAAATAAATTCCAAATTTCAATGAAAAATATTTATTTAATTCAAAATTTTAAACTTTCCTAAACCTAAGACTTTAAACAATTTTAAAGAAAAATTAAACACCCAAAATATTTCTTCACTTCCACATAAATATTTTCTCTTTAGAGCACTAACCAATTCCCACCTGACCGCGGTTTTCCGCTCGATTGATTGTCACTTTCAGCGCCTTGATTAACACCTTATGCGACACTTTTTCACTTTTCCCCGCTAAACCAAGCCACAAAGTGTCCAGACCAAAGAGGGATAGAGGAAAAATTAAGTGAAAAGCTGCCCAGGGGCTGGAAAAACCTTTTATGTTGAGTGGCAGCGAGAAAAAAGATATAATGAAAGACAGATGGAAAACGAGGGCCGTGACTTTGAAGAGCTACAGAGATTCAAATGTAAAAGCGACAGGATAAAGTCAAAGCCGCAATGCCGCATCCTGAACACTGCTACCCGACTCCCAGGTCCGAAATGCTGCACAAATATAATTATAAACGTCTGCCCGGCCATTAGGTGCTGCGTTAGAAGCCTCCACACACACAGCCCCGGAAAACCGAAACCTCCCCCACTCTCAGATCCAATTTGGCTTGGGGCGTGGCATTACCATCCACCATACACCATCCACACCCCCAGTATCCCTCAATAGATGGGTCTATATTTAGTCTGGACTGTGCGGCAGGTTCATGGAAATTGTCGCATCAAGTGAAAACATCAATGGAGCAGCTTTGATTTTGATTCTATTTTTTATCCGCATGGCGTTTGACATTTGCCAGTTCAGTTCAATGGCCAGGGAAAAGGCAATCAAATCGATGACTTTACTTTTCCCCCACTCCGGTTGCTGTGGCTACATTTCAATTATGCTAATTACAAGCAGCCATCAAACACCTAATGGCCATGGGGCGAGGAGGATTTATGTAAGTCCAACCCCAAATGCAACTTCTGGCTGTCTCTTTGCTTTGTCATTGAGCTATTGCGGTTTGTCTGCTAATTTATGGGCTTGTGTTGAACCCGAACCCATTCCATAACCCCTGAGAGTGCGCCTCCATCTGTGAATAAAACATAGAACTCTGGGCCTGGAGTAAAGTAGTTTTTTCCCCCACTCAGAGCTCAGAGGTTGTAAACATGCCGTACACACACACAATAGATTCCCCGCTTTTTTGCCCATGAAATTCTGCTCAAAACTAAAGAAATGAAAAGAACAGACAGGAGATATCCTTCCATTGTCCTGGGAATGAAGTACTCAAATTACAGGGCATGTATGTACAAGTGTGTGCGCCATAAAGCTGTCTGCAGCAATCCGATAATCATCTAAGGGCTTGCGCCACTTCATTTCGGGACAACAAATTTTATTATGCAGAAGAGATTTCTTTTTCTTTTCAGTTTCGTTTTTTTTTTTTGCCTTACTTTGCACGTGGAGCGCCGCCACAAAGTAGGATATGTTGATGCCAAGATATGAACGCATTAAACATAAACTATTCCATATTGTTCCTGCTCCTTGGAAGGAAAAATGCCGCAGGCTGTGAAAGCCTCCTCACAAAAGACTTGCTCTGCATACAAAAAAAATTGTGACGATGACAGCAACTCTGTTGCAGATTTCCCAGAAATGGGCGAAGACATTCCCCTTTTCCTGTTGGTTTTCCCACCGTTTGTAGCTAATTTGCCACCGGCTATAATAATGCTTAAGGCAAGCAAAATCTTGGCTTGACTTTTGTTTACTTTAGAGGGCAAACAACGAGAAGGCAGCTTGATCCATTCCTCAAGTTAATTAAAGTTTTATCAAGCCAAGAGGTAAGCACGCAGACTTCTTCAGGCATTTCCTGGAATGCAGCCGTTCTCTCTCTCCTCCTCAAAAACTTCATGTTTTATTCAATTTTATCTGCTGCTCTTGTTGTTCTCGACTGTGTAACTAGCTAAATTCAAGTTGTGAAGTACGAATTCCATCCGCAAAAGTGGTTTCAAATGCGTTTCGCCTTAAAAGCGGCAGGGAGTTGGCCCACGTTATACCATCATCATCGTCATTTTTAGCATGGCCATCATGAAATTCAGGTTGTGTCACTCCACGTTTACTCGTTACCGTCTTCGATTTCAATCAATGTGCAGCAGCTTATTGAGATCTTTCCATCTCTCCTTTCTCATTTTCCTTTCAGCGCTGGCTTTTGTTTTCCCTAACCTGCGGGTTTTTCCGAAGAATCGAATACAACAAAAGGAAATTCATTGAATAGAGAGCGCAGAGTTAAGCCTTCAGCAGTTTATGACGCGTCAGTTTCAATGAGTTCGTGCCTCAATGGATTCCTTCCCCAAAGATGATGATGATGATGGTGTTGCAGCTGCTGTCGAGTGGAGATTAAATGGAAAATGGTTTGGAAAATATATGTATTTAACTAGCAGGATCAAGTTCACTCGACTCGCAGATTAACATAGCTCCCTGTAGTTTCCCGATTTTTAAAGACCTTTTCTCACATTCATGGCAAGCTTAAAGTGCTTATTTTCATAAATTAATGCATTTCATACCTGCAAATAAAAGAGAGAAATAGAAACCAATTAGTAATTGATACATATACATAAAATTAATTGGAAATAAATGTAATATGGACAGCATAACCTCGATTCTTCTATGTTAACGACACCCCAAACCACTGGTTACATGGAAATCGATAAACGGTGTTCGATTACATGCCCGATAAGATATGATACAGCATAGCTGTGGAGACCACACATCACTCGGGGCGGTACAAAAGCTGTAACTGCCGCCATATTGATAACTTTATCGATGTGTGTCAAAGAGCGCGGCTGCCATTGGAAATTATAAATCAATTTCCAGGCATTCAGCGCCGATCGTCGGTGATAAGATTGCCGGTAGGGAAAAAGGTCGGATCAGAGGGCTTTAGCATAATTACGAAACATGCCAGCCGCGCGGAAAGGGCAACTTAAGCGGCTTACTCAACGGTTAGACCATGTCTCAGGTTGTCTCCACGGATCTCAATATGTTTGTGCCTTTGTGAGTCTGTATGTGATGTTTTAATTAAAGCAACGGACGACGACTGACCGGTCGGACCGTCGCCAGTTAGCAGGCACAACTATCGGTCAATAACTTGCCCCAGGCACGCGCCACTTACAGTGGAACTTCATTAACTAGAACTACTAATATAGAGAAATCCATAGATATTTTACAACAATTTAAAATTGGTTAACATAGTTTACCTTCTTTTAAAATTATTTAATTTACAGATTTTACCTTAAAAATTTGTAGTAAAAGATAAAAGTTAGTTAGCTTTAAGTGTAATGGAATCTATTTTTATAATCATTTTGGTCCTTCGAGCCTTTTTGCTTCCTTGCCGAACAATTGGTTTCAATAACTTAATTTAAAGAAAGTTGAAGTCAAGACATTTTAAGTAAATATTTCATTTAACTTTTAGTATGATTAAACATTTTTAACTACAAATTTAGATATCTAAAGGTCCCACTGTGCTCGCCCAGAGGTCCGGCTATGTGTGTGGTGTGTATTTAGGGCTTAGCCAAGAGTCAGCGCATAAAAGAGTTGCTTGATTGCTGGGCAAACGGAGTCCCAATTGAATTTTACTCGCCATCTAACTCGGAGAATGTTCAATTATTCGAGGACAAACGAGTTTTTTGCATGACCGTCGCAAAAGCCCGCAAAGAAATGGGTAATCTTGGGAGCGGCTTCTTTGGGCTGCTCATCCATTCCATTTCCCTGGCACATTTAATTGCAGCAATCAAATGGTTTTCGGGCGGTGCCACCTGGGAAATTTCCTCTGGCGCATATATCATTTCATTTGCCTTTAATTTGACACATGACGTGGGGGCATTTCTGGGGCCTCGACTTCTTCCTGTTCCTGCCATTTGCAAAATGGCTGTCCTAACTTTTGTTGTCTAACAAAATGGCCGCCCTGGCTTCTTCCGCTTACCATCCAGCCAGCAAACGTACATAAAAACACCATATACTCACACACCCACCCAGAACCCAGAGTTCATTGGTTTCTGAGCGGCATTTTTCACTTGCTCTGGCAAATGACTTTGGCCACATGCTGGGGCTCGCATTTCCCCCATTTTTTTCCGCCCGAAGCAAGTCGCTAAGCTGGGCTAAGTTGAGCGCTTTTCCGCTGCCGGCGTTGCCTTTTCTTTGTCCTTTGGCATCCAGCGACAACGAGGACGTTGCTTGTTGCGCAGAAAAACTTTTGCATTATGAAATTGTAAATGTTAGCCAAACAGACAATCAGAAATGTACACTCTTCTGCCAGGTGGGTGTCGAATTTTTCTTTACCCAAATCCGAGAGAGAATCCAAAAAGGGAACATTTTATAATCCCTGTATAAGACAAAAATAAATCATTCCGAAGAATAAATTACCATTTTTGGGCAAGGTAACACAAAGATTTTTTAACTGACCAACTGAACTGATATTTGTTCATCAGTGTAACCACGCATTTCTGCTGCCTCGAGCTGTCCAAACGTTTTAGAAAAATCGTTTGCAGTTCGCCAAGGGGAAAAACAAACTTTTCACCCCCTTAAAACGAATTTTCATCTATATACAGTTGCTTTTGTGGGATGAGGAATTAAATTCTTATCTCTTGTTCAAAGTTTTTGCACAGTATTTGTTTTATCAACTTATGCTATTTTCATCGCTTGACTTAAGTCGCTTCATCTGCACAGAAAGACAAACACATAAAAGCTTTTATTCAATGGTTTTCATTATTGATTTTTATTTAATTTTACTATTAGGCAAATCTTGGACAGGACGATTAGTAAATTGTTCTAAAAATGTATGTTTGGGTTATTGTCCACATTAATGTCAAAGTATGAATAAACGATGCCTCTCCACACACCTTCAGCGCCCAATTTAAGACTAAACATGTAACTGCCCTTTGGAAGTGGAATTTTTGCGTACATTTGATCGGTCAAGACAAAGTCCTTCAGAATAATGTCATGCTGTGGAAATAGGTGATTGCTTTGGAAATATCAAACTATGGAAAACTGTTATGGTACTCACGTTATATGGACACGTATGATTTAAATTAATATACGACTTGAATCCAGAGTAAAAAAGGTGGAAAACAGTAAGCGGGTTCGGATGCTTAATGTAATGACAAAAGTCAACGGTAACGTTGATAAGAAACGGATGGTATCCCGATAATTTCTTATAAATACCGAAGTTAAGCATAATAGCTTTAACGGGAAGTTTTAGGAGTTTAATATAAACGTTCTCTCCAATAATGCCACGTCCTAATACTTTAAGACGACATACAGGAAACTCAACAAACGATTTGTCAAATATTTCACATTTCACGTTTGTATGACGAGTGACTATATCTCCGCGGTCCTCACCAGCCATTAATATTATAGCCAACACTCTGATTATTGTGAACTTCATTGCAGAATAGTTTCCTACTAAATAATTGCCCTTCCGAACTTTACCAACTACAAGTAAATTTTGCGTTACACCATCACTATCTTTTTTACGAAATCAGGTTTAGTTATTGGTTAAATTATTTTGGGTTTAAAAATCAATTTTGATGATTATGGCCTGCAATTACACATTTTGTTTGTTCAGTTTAGTTGGTTTAATACCAAGCGAATGCGTAATTTGCACATGTGATAATTTAAATTGACTTAACAATTTCGTCATTAGTAAGTTTTTGTGGGAGTGATTTAAAAAATGAGCGGTAATGATTCCATACCTATTTTCTAATAAAGCTTGATCTGGATTCCCAATAATACTCACATTTATTGGACAAGAATGATAATAAATGTAATATAATAATTATAATTATGGTAAAAATAAAATAATTATAAAATTTAAAATAAAAATGAAAATAAACAAAAAGCAAATATTCCAGATTTTTTTGTTAAAATAAAAATGATAAAATAAAAGCATGATAGTCAACATTAAAAACACATTACCTATAAAATATGAGACTGTTTAGAATTCTGTGTAATGGGTTGATAAATTGAAAAAAAATTTACGAATTTATTCAATTTTAAATTATATTAACTCAAATCGAAAAACAATTATTCCAGATAATTAATTAATAAAATTAAGTACTGAAACCTGAAAAATTTAAATTAAAATCGTTTAATTCCAACAAATATTTTGACTGATCAACTGAACTATCAACATCCAATACGTCACTTCTCATTAATTAATATATCAGTTTAAATTAATACATTTTGTTTCTGTGCATATCCAATTGGCTTTATTACGTAATGTCTAAATATATTCTGAAAGTGTTTCATCCCAATCTGGATATTTTGTGTCATTTTCATCGGGTGAAAAAAGTTTTCCAGTCGCGGCGGGGTGAATCATTGATGCGATTGCCGGCCAAGAGATTAAAACGCATTTTCCGAGACTCATAATAATCCGGGCCCTGTGCCAATTTCCCTTTTGTAGGGAGGTTTTCCTTTGGGCACGTGTGTCACAGTGAGTTTGAGTAAATATCCCTTTTTTTGCCTCTCTTTTCCATTTTCTAGTCTGCTCTATGAACTTATGCATCGCTGCGCTTTGACAAACCATAATCCCCTGGCAGTAAAAATATGGATTTCATTTCATGTTCCATATTTTATGGCCTCAAAGCGAAATGAGAACGATGGAAATGAGGAATAGTTCTCTCCAGTGCTAATGGCCAGTTGTTAAACTCTCAAATTGATCCATGAATTTCACAGTCGGATGCGGCTATAGTGCACAGCACATATTTTCCAGCCCGCGTTTGATGTTTTCTTGGATTCGTATAAAAAAAAAAAGAAAACAGAGGGCCGCTCCCCGAAAATCGAGTATAAATCGTAGTGTCAAAGAGCGCTGGAGAATATAAATTTATGATTTATCGAAAGCATATGCGTTACCTCCTACAGGAAGTACCCAGCGAGACTTTGTAGAGGCGAGTTTTTCCAATTATTATTAGCATTTTACAATCGCTTGGGCATGTTTTGAATGGTTCTTTAGCGCACATCGAAGACCCCACCCTCATGGATGTCGAGGAAAACATAGACAGATGTCCCAGAGAACAGATGCCTTTTCCTGGGGGATCTCGCCAGGAATCAACTTAAATTTGACCAAGTCAAGTCGTACGGATTTCAAGAGGAAAATTCACTTTCATAACTCAAAAATCAATTGTATTTATACAATTGAATCAAAATTAAGTGCACATACTGACAGATGTCCCTGAGACCAGATTCGCATTCCTTGGAGATCTCAGCAGGAATTAACTTTGATTTGCCCAAGTTTGACTTGACAAAAGTAGAAAGTTTGCTTTAAGAATTCCACAATATGTATCTGCATATATTTGTACAATTGAATCAAAATCAAGCGGAAGTTGGGGAAATAAGTAGCAGCTGTGCCGTGTCGTGGGTGTCGGAAGCGCACTCCAAGAATATCCAGAAAATTTAAAAATAATTTCTTTTGGTCTGACACTGACTTATGTGCAGGTTAAGTGCCGCCGACAGATTTTGACACATTGCGGCAATGTCACGAAGCGAAATGCATATTCGAGATTGTGTTAAGTCACTGCCGTTGCTTTGATTAGAGCCAAAATGCAATGTGAAAGTCGATTGAGTTGGGGAAACGAACACTTCTTTAATTAACATATGCTGTTTGTTGTTGTTTGTCTTCCCCAACAGCTGCTGCGGTCTGCAACTTTTCCCAAGCGGTATTTGTTGTTTCGGTTACCGTTTATGCTGTCGGTGGTTGCCTAACAAATTAATTTCATATTACGTCCGCCCGCTCATGCATACACAGCTGCGGTCAAGAAAATAGCACACTGTTTATATTCTCTGATTTAATACAATATTATTAATTATTATATGCGACAAAATTACTCAGTGATTATTGTTCAAAATAATATGATTCCTCTCTTTAAAAAGATTTAAAGCTAAATTTGTAAATTCACAAATTGATGTAGCAATATAGTTTGCGACCTTGTAAATATTTCGTTATATTATGTTGAACTCAATTGTATCCAAACATATAGTCCAAATTATAGTTTATTTGCTACTCGGGTTACATGTGTGCGGGATTGCCGTTTGGATGGATACGATCCTATTCTATCGTATCCCATCCTATCCTTCCTTTGGCAGCAGTTCCAATTGAAATTAATGTTTTATGGTTTCTGCAGCGACCGCACACACAGCACAATGACAGCAAAAGGGAAAATACGACAGCTGGACAGCGGAGAAAAGGGGGAGTAATTTCAACAGTTTTGTGCCTTCTGGTATTTCAACTCGCTTCTCCTAGTGCCAATTTGCCATGGAGAGTTTCCTGTAAGTGACAAAAGCAAATGCCAATCCTTGGGCCAGACTTTCTTTCCCTATTCTCAGCTCTTCCTATTTCTTTCAGCTCTTTGTCTCGCTTTTGGCCATGGCAAATTGGACATTCTTCTTCAAATTTCCTGTTTATGCTCCATAAAATCCATCGAAGCGTTTAATATTGGCAACTTAAGTTGGATGGAAATAAAGGAAGCGGCAGGAACAACGCGCCAAGTACGTGGTCTGGGATTTAAATTGGTTTGTTGAGGCATGTACTATATTATATGTATGTAAAGTGGGGGAGGCGTCTGGCATTGAATTTATTTGCCATTGTCTGAGTCAGAGTACTCGGTAGTCAGCTGTTTGGGTACCAACAACTTATCTGTCATGATTTAAAGGAAAAAGTTAAAAAACATTTCAATTTATCTTGTGGCAAAGTTGACAGCTCTAATATAAAGCAACATTTCCCTAATTTTCATACACAGGTAGACATCTATAACTTAGACAACAATGTGCCACGAATTTGTGATAAAGAGACTTTAAGTTTGCGAAAGCACAATTTAATTTTGTAAATTACTTTTTCCAATAAAGAAGTAAACCTCAAACCATTTACTTATTTGATGGAGACAGTTTAGTCTTTACATGAATTCAGTAAAATGAGATTTCATCAGTTAGTTTAGTGTTCAATAAACATCATCCTGATAAAGATAATTCAAGCTATGGACGTCTGACTGTAGTTTGCTACTGATGATTTGGATTGAAAAGTTTGTCCAGCAAAAGAGAGAGCTGAGTTTCCATCATAATCAATGTTATTTTTTGCATATCAGTCCAAGTGGGTTTGGTGCGGCGGCTGGATTATGCAACTCGTCTGGGGCAGCTGGAAAATGCAGTTGCATTTTGCAGTGGCATTTTGCAGTGGCATTTTGCAGTGCATCCCACGCACGACTCGGACGACTGGCGCCTGCCCACGTTTAGGCTGTTAATTGAATTTTTCGCCTAACGATATAAGCTTCATAAATAAACGTGTACAATAATAATAACGAAAAACTTATCGAAATGCATGGCCCACAAAAAAAGAAACGGGTTTATTTCGATTTGATCAAATTTATGTCAATTTCAGAAAGTGTTAATTGCTCTTGACGTCGATTTATGTGTCGCATAATTTTATCGGGGATAATGACAGCCAACCGCAATAACAAGTGCATACTTTGTGGGGCATTAGCTGGGAAAACACTCTAAAAAGTACACCTAACAAGAATGCAAATTTTAGCTGGCAAATTGAAATGAACGGGGGCGCCCAAATGTGGGCGGAATATTTCCCAAAAAAGAGGAGATTACATTTTGTTGATTTATATTTGATGGAAATGGAATTCGAAATAAGTGTCTGTCGAACAATTTGTTATTTATCGTTTTCCATGATTTTGATTGGATTTTATGTATTTTTTTACGATCCATTTTATTGAAGTAGAGAAGAAATTTAAGGAATTTTTCAGAAAACCATTAAAACTTAAAATAAGAATAAACATCAGACGAGAGTTTAAATAAGGAAAAATTTCATTTTAATACAGTTTTACAGTTTTAAACTTACGTGAAGCGTTGAGAAAATATTGTTTGCCCATTTATCATCATCATTTTCCCATTATCAAATTTATTTTTGTTACTCTGTGCACTCACCTGAAAGGAAGAAAGGAGAAATGAGAAATCCAATTAATGAATAATGAGTTCTGTAGTTTTTAAAATAAAGCAAAAGTTATAAGCAGCCCATAATTCAACCCGAATGCGTTCACACCTCCAAACGGACACACACACACTTTAGCCAACTTAATTTTGAGGGCATAAAAGTTTTTACAAATTATTTCTTTCTCCCTTTTTATGTTGGCCGAAACACCTACACAACAAAGGGGAGTGTCGAGGGGGAGTGAAAGAGCAATTTTTGATAAGACACAGCCAGATATTTGTGCGCTCCAGTTGGCAACAAATTATGAAAATGAAAAATGCCATCAAAGCAGCGTAAATCATCTGATTTTGACATGCATTATTATTTATGACCGGGGTCGCCCTAAAAACAAAAGAAAAGGGGGGAAAAAGGCATAACTCTTGACGCTTGAGTACAAATCAGGCGGCAATAAAGGTGTA